CCCCACCACTGCAATCCAACTGGGCGGGTTTCAGCTCAACCAGGAAGAGATGCTGGCTTCGGGAGTTGCCGAGGCGACGTGGTCCATCTCGGCAAGGAGAAAAGCAGGGGGCTGGACCACCAAACCCTCCCCAAAGGTTTGCCATTTCCAAGGTCCCCTCCTGTGCTCATGAGGGTTCAAACCGACACTCCCCCCCCCGCTCCTCCCCCATCCGTTTCCAAGTCCCAGGTTGAAAATAAAGAGAGTTAAAAAACCAAAGAGGAAGAAAATTCTTTGAATATTTTTTTTTATTGAAAGTTGTAAGAGGAGTCATCCCAAAAATCGAACCGAAAAGATACCTGAATAAACAGCACATTTCTAATGATGCCATTTAAAAAAAAAAAAAAAACAATATACAGCACACACCCTCCATGTGATATTTTAAATTTTTCATATAGTTTTAAAGGTTTCTGGTATTCTTTCTTTTTTTTTTATTCCCCCCTCTGGAGTGAAAAATAAAACAAAACTGAGGTTTCTTCCTGTCCTGTTTTTTTTTTTTCTCCTTTGAATACCCCGCACTGTAAAAGTTTTTATTTCTTTATCTTAAATCATTCACTCATTATTCATCGTTCTTTGAACTACTATATATAAGGAGAACGTCGCATATTCCCTGTCGAGTTCCTTTTGAAGGATTTGATCGTCTCCTGGCTTTTTTTTAGCCGGAACTAAAAATAAATGATTGTCTTCCGACAGACGGGGTAAACATTTTTCCTCGTTTTTTGTTTTTTGTTTAGATACAGAACAATATTTTTCTTCCGTTCACAAAGAGTTAAACAAGCAGGGAATTCGGTGGCAGGTTAAAAATAAAATTCAAGATGGCTGCTTCTGCCTTCGCGTTCAAAGCCCCACCCCTTTGATGTCAAGTGGGAAAGTGGGTGGGGCTTGGACGGCACCGCCCCTGGCCACGCCTACCTGGTTTTTGACCCCTCCCCGGGGACCTCTGAAACCAGATCTTCATTTACAATATATGTACGTTCACATAAAACGAAAAAAGAAAAGAAAAGAAAAACAATCAAACATGAGTTAAACTCTAATTATGTACACTCCAATGTACAACTCTAAATAAATTAATACCAATTTTTGCATATTTGGGGAGGGGGGGATTCGTTATAGCTTATTTACAGAAATTACCATTTTATTCCATAAATATTATGTTTCTTTTTTTTTTCTTTTTCACTTTAAATTTTCTGATACGCAGAGAGAAAGTCCCAAAAGAGAAAGATCCGAAGCCACACGTGGATTGTGCCAACTCTGAAAGTTGGGAAGCAGAAAGATGAACGTTCATGTTTATTTTGCTTTTTTTTTTTTCCTTCTTCTTTTCGGTGGCCTTCAGCGTCGGTGAGCAGAAGGGCAACGCTTGTGAACACATCGCTCAACCTCCTCTGGCTAATATGAACCCAATTTCCTAACATTTAGAGCTTGGCAAGAAGCTCTCCTCTTCCCCGTTTTCCTAGCATCGGAGGACCAAGTCCTACGGGATCGTCCGCGTTTCAAAATTCAATTCTCGGAGGAAGAAAAGTGCCGAAATGAGTTGGAGGTGACCTAAGGCGCCATCTTCCTCTCCGGTGGCCATTTTAGAGATGCATTTGGCTTAAAACAGACCTCTTCTGCTCAATCCCGGGCCAGAAAACAGATAAGATATCGGTGTGGTGTGTTGAGATCACAGCGTGAGTTCAAAAACCTGGTTAGCGACAGCCTTCCTAAATGCTTTCCCTGCCTCCTCTGCTTGGCCCTTGGCTCTGCTTGCGCCTCTCGTAGGATGCCAAGCTACTGATGCATCTAGACTCCGACCCATCTTAATCTCCTCTCCTCTTTTTCTTAAAAAATAAATATTTATATACTGTGTGCTGTACACATCTCTTTCGCAGCCGCTCCTAAGCTCTAGGGGGTTGGCTGCTTCCGTGAACCGTCGACTTGGGGGAATTCCTACTAGGGGATACTTCCCTTTGGGTCTCCAAGCCGCTGACCAGTCTCTGAATGTTTTGCAACTCGTTCATGGACTCTTTCAAAGATGGCTTGGGGGAGAGAGACGCCCGCTGGGTGCTGGCTTTCGGGAGGGGCAGATCTGAAAGAGGACTTGATTCCCGACTGTTCCCAGGCTTGGAGGCTTCCGCACCGGCGTTCAAACCGGCAGGCAACCCGGTGGTTAGGAGGCTGGTGCTGGGGGGGATGGCCACCGGGATCTGGTAGGGGTTGAACCGCGGGCGAGGTCGAGCGCTGCTCAGGAAGGGGTTCCGGGAGAGTGAGCTGGCAGTGGTGGCACTGGTCACTGGCATGGCGGAGGCCGCAGCAGCTGCAGCCGCCATGTAAGTGTACGGGTACGGAAAAAGTCCCCCAAAAGTAGGCAGTGGGATTCCCTGTAAGGAGAAAGAAAGAGATGGGAGAAAGGGTCAGCCTCATCAGATGAACAACAGTTTGTTTAGTGACTGTTTGAAGTTACAACGGCATGGAAAAAAGTGACTTACAAACCAGTTTTCACTCTTACGAACATTGCTGCCTTCCCAAAGTCACATGATCAAAATTCAGCTGCTTAGAACACGATAAAGAGAGTTAAATGATGGCTGGTTGTCTGCCATATCTATTCATCTCCGCACCCTGCCTTTTATCCCCAGAGCTAGGGCTGGGTTTCGCTAGCAGTGGCGGCTCTTCCTTCCCCAGGATCGGCCCATAGATTTCCACTGCTCTCCTCTCCTCTCTGCTTTCTGCACATCCATGCATCAGGCACGGGATTCAGCTGTTCCTCCTCTTTGTCATCAACCACCTCCAGACCTGAGGGCTGTTGACTCTCCATTTGAGGGTTGACGGACAACTCAGGCTACACCTCCCTCTCCCTCCCACCCTCCCTCCCTCTCTTTCTGCTAGCTCCATTCCGTCTCCCCCCTCGGAGCTCTCAGGTTGCCTTGACTCCAGGGGTGGGTTCCTACCGGTTCGCACCGGTTCTTGCGATCCGGTTCGTCAGTGAACCCGGAAGTAATTAACTTCCGGGTTCCTAGCTCCTAGCCCCTGTCGCTGGGTGCCTGCAGGGTTTTTCTTTTTAAAAAATGCCTCTCCGGATGATCTTGAAAACCTGCAAGGTTGCTTTGGAAGGGGACATATGGGCAGCATTTTCCCCTGCCCCCCTCCCCGGGAGCCTGCAGTTTTAAACCAAGCCTTTGCACAGTAAAGAAAATCTCACGAGCGAGAGAGAAATTCTTACTTGCTTTTACTGTGAAGTTGCGGAAGCTTCCAAGCAGAGATGGGATGGGGGTTTTCAAGATCGTCTGCAGAGAGGCATTTTTTAAAAAGAAAATCCTGAAAAGGATTTGGAGAGATTTGCAACTGGTCTTTGGTGGTGGGGGGGAATTCCCAAAACCAGGAGCACAGCCCATTCCCCCTCCCAAAAAGACTGTTTTCTTTTT